TTATAATTAGACCCGGGCAAATTTCTCAAGATTGCACCATCATTTTGGGCTTAAAGCTTCCAAAGTCCAACAATAATAGCGCATGTTCGCGACGGTTTTTTAAGGCAGTCAAGTTATTAAACCAGGCCTTAAACGGCCAGTTTTAAGTGTCGATAACAATTAAAAAGGCATACAAGCCTCATGCAAAAGACAGTGGGAAGGAAGTGCACATCGGTGATGGGGACAAAGGAGTAGCCCACAGTTAGTCAGGGGTGGATCTTTCGGAACATTCTTATACTCTTGGACAGGTGTAAATTTATAGTAACAAACTGTTAAATATACATCAGCAAGATTTTTGCGAATCCTATTTTTCGCTGGAGACTATCGTTTATTGGCTGGTCACGCAATCAAAGGTAACGTACCTTCCCACGTTTGTTTACTCACCCTTCGCTCAGCAACACACTGCGTTCCTCAAAGGATCCAAATTGCGCTAGAATGTTTCCCTAATCGGCCCACTTTTTATCTCAGGTAAGGCACTGCAAAGCTGATTCACTTACGAAGATTCGAGGGAGAATTATTTCTTGATGTTATTCTGATTTCGCAGTCAAGGGAAAACAGACCTAGACTCAGGTCCACTCGCAGACGCCATGCTGCAATCTACAAGATCTCAAGAACAGAAATTACCCATTGAACGGCCTCTCCTTTTGAAGATTGTGTCTATTTCATTAAAACAGGTACATGTTAAAAGAGTCTTGTTAGTTTCTCTCTTTTAACGAGCTCAAATCGATGCATAAAACTAAGGTGACATGCACGTGTCAATTGACCCTGGGGTCAATTAGCAGCTGGGGCGAAATAACCTCAAGAACACCAGACTAACTTTCAGATAATGTTGAAGTACTATATCTCATTGGGTAGTAAGCGGGATTTGGGGTGATTTAGAGAATTACCCCATATAGAAAATTTGATTTTGGTTTTAGCGGTAAATTGTTGTATTTATAAGCATTATGCAAATTACGCTTCAAAATTCTGCTTGTTCGTCGATATTTTATTCTCTAAATCTAAAAAATGTGCCATTCAGAAATTGTTAGATATCTGCTTTTTGAGATTTAAGTGGAAGATTGCCAATATATTCACTCGTTTATGAAAGTCAGCTCATTTCTGTCGCTAGGCTATATTGCCGTGTTCGGCGGGCTAATTTTAGGCCCGCAGACCGTTGAAATCGAAAATCTCAAATAATTCCCAAACTCGGCCACATTTTGAAATTTAAACCTCAGCAGAGTTATAAACTCATTAAAATCTTATTACTGACTGAAAATGAGGGTAAGTTAGGTTTTGAGCTGTGGCCACGATTTGCCAATTTTGCTCGATTTTTCTGTGCATTCGCTCTTAAAAGACTGAAAATTGTTAACCTGCATTATGTGTTTATGATTAACGCTATTTTAATTTTATGCAGTGACAACGGCTTTGTGAAACTGTTTTACTCTGCAACAACTAAGGGACCAGTCAAAAAGTATAGGGGGTGGGGCTGGTCATGTAATATGCCAAAACGAGGGGGTAGGCCATTTATTTTTTCGCTCCAACATTTCCCGCTACTGCAGTTCACCCCCTCTGGTACCTTTTGTCCAGTCCCTAAACCTCAAGAATTTGACTGATTCAGAAGTCTTTACATTATCATTAGAATTACACATGAGGTTTCTTAAGTGTTCCTACCCATTATATTATTTGATGTTATCATAAATTCCAGAGAGAGAAAAAACACAAGAACAGCAAGCCAGTTCATCAAGCCCTTCTGCAGTTATGAAGAAAAAAATCACACTAAAAGACAAAGCAACATGGACAGAAGCACAGAAAACAAGCTACAACATGAAGTAAGAATTCCATTGTATTAGGTTTTTGTAATACACTTGGTCCCATAAGAATTGAGACATGGAGAAATGAGCTTTCATGATTCATAAAGAAGAAAGTGATATGTCCAAAAATATTGTGCTAATCATTTTCACTGAAGATTATTTTGATGGCTGATACCAAAGAGTAACAGTGTAATTTTGTAGGGCTTTGTGCAAAGTGGTAATCAAAATGAGTGTCTCTTTTTGTAATATTTTAGAACTGCTATTGCAATTAGTGAAGCGAAAAAGTTGTGGCCAGGAAATGAAAAGATATATTTCAAGACAAGTGAACGAAAAAAGCTACAACTGGAGGAGCTTTGCACCAAATTGGCTCAATACTGTGCTATTCCAGAAATTGGATTTGGATATGGTAAGTGTGGATTATTGCTTGTGAGGTGACAGCTCAGAGGGCTTTTTAGATTGACTTTTGTTATGACCAAAATGAAAATTAAGGGTGAAAGAAAGTACGTGAAGAAGGTTGACTATCTTGGCCAAAAATGAGCTCTTCTAGCTTCTAAAAGGGACTGCTTCCCTCCAAGGCTATAATGCAGCTGACTAACTGAGATACCACATGTGAATATCTAGTAAAAGGACACTGGTTCCACATCCTGTTACTCAAAGTATAATTTACATAATAAGGTTTGTTGTCAGCTGAATGATCGTTAAAGAGTTTTGACAATTATTGTTTTATTTACATAATAAATTGTTATAACATTGAGTTTGCGATATGTTGTACCTTTCAGATGCTATTCGCGCGCACATAATACAGTGGGCCCAGGAAAAAAATCGGAAAATTACAAATGGCTATAACTATAAGGTAAATTATGAATTCTTGCATTTCACTGTTGTCAATGCCAGTTAGTACATAGTGTATTTACACTAACAGGCTGAGTTTTGGGTGAGGATACAGTTTTAAATTTTGATATCTTAATCAATCTCAACAAATTCTATAATTACCGTAAATAATTTCATTTTTGTAATGTCACACCTTACAACTCTATTAACCTGTCAAGATGGTTCAATAAAAAAGGATAAGGATTTGGTCAGAATTGAAAAGTGTTTCTCCTGTGTATTTTGTCTTTCTCAGACTGCTAAAGCTTTGAACAGAATTTGTCAATAACATAGGACATATCTCTCATCTTATCTCTTAACTCATAAGAATTATTTTTAGTTACGGTAAAAAATATTTGGCGCGTTGATCAGGCCTGGGGGCACTGTCATATGCCATTTTTTGTTTCCCCAACCGGTATTACTAGGAATTATGCAAAAAATATGAAACCATCATGTTGAGTTGGTATATTGTCTCCTTGGGAGATCAATTAAAACTTGAGCCATTAATTCCACATCAGAGTGGTTTCCCTTGGAAGATTAATAACATTTCATGTATTAGTTTTTAAGAGCAACTCCACGTAACCAGCAACTACACGTGGAAATAGTCAAAAAATGACCTCCCCTCAAACTCAGCCAGAATGAAGCTCTGTGGGCCCTAGTTACAAAATCGTTGGTTTAAGTTCGATCGATTGAACGGTATTTTTTTAACGAATTTTTTCTTCCCGAGGCCTAAAATGAGCTAAAATTATGCAAAAATTAGAGCCAGTTTCAGTGGCTCGTATAATTAAACATTAAGATTGTCATTAAAATATAACTGCACGTCATATCTTTATTTCTTTTCCTCTATAACTAGAACTAATAAGATCGCGATTTAGTCAATAATAGATTTTTTAACAAATTTTCAAAGTGTTGACTCAAAATCGCTTTTCAAACGGTCAAAATTTAGCACATTTTCAAGAGCAAAAAAAGCGTATTGGTACATGGCTTTAACCAACAAGGCTTGCTTAGTCTGAAAGAGCATTCTTTTTTCTTCAAATTAGCGAAATAAAATTTTTGGGTAAATGAAATCATGAGCTTTGACAAAGCAGAGTAAAATGCTAATATTACAATTAAAAATATGACCTCTGACCCGAGTCAAGCAACTGCGAATAATGGTAGGCGGCAAACCTTTGGTTATCTTTTGTTTTTTTTTTAGCAATATCCATCCGAAATACCTGTAGATGAGAAGCAGTGTTAAAATACAAAAGGTGTAAGTTATAAAATCTTCGATGTAGCAAAAAATTACAAGACACAAGAAACAATTTTTGTCGTCTTCGCTTTCTGGCACTAGCTTCAGCCTGTTATCGAATTTCAGTCAAGCATGCCGGCAAATCAGTAGTTGCATAAATAAACGTTATCAGGTGACAATTACTCACCTGAAACTTTTAAGTCTGCGAGTCTATGTGGCCGTTTATAGGGGAATTGATTTCTGGAATGCCTTTTGACTGGCCTGCATTAAATAGTTTTGTATTTTTTTTTATCAAATTAGCGAAGCGAGAGCAGTTCAGACTGGTAATCAATTATTTGACAGGTGTCAGTAGCCTGACTCACAATTTTCCCGTGTAACCAGACGCAAAAAAGTACTGCCTTGGAATTTTGTTAGTTTTATTTGATTACGTTAATATGCAGGAACACTTAAATAAGACGAAAGAAAGAGGTTGATTAGTTGAAGGAGTTTTCAGTACTCAGTTTTTATATACTGTGTCGCCTGGAGCGCTCCACTCGCCAAAATGGCTTCATGTGAATTTTCTAAGTATGTCGGAGGTGATTGTGGAGCAAGCTTAGTGCTTGCAAGTGGTGATTTGTGTGTAAGAATTTCTGAATGCTCTAAGGACATCAAAGGCCACCTCGAGACGTGCTGCGTTTCAGATGGTACACTATGTTCAGAGGCGACGCTTCTGTTGGCGCATGCAGGTAAATCAAATTCTATCCGAGTTTCACCTGTGGTAGCACGAATGAAAAAGTTATTTTATTCAACTTATGTAACAAAAATGTGCCTAATCATAGGTATCTTTGAGGAACAAGAGCAATATTTTAATCTCTCTATTTGCCCAAGACACCGCGATGCATTTGGTCTTAGATGGCGAAGCAACCGAAAACTTATGTTCTTCTCCAAGTTCATGGGCTTTTCACAGAAAAGCCTATGTGAAGGGCGAGTGAGAGATTACACAGACACAGTCTCACCGCCTCTACATGGCCTGCAAAATCGTCATCCCTGTTGGCTCAAGTAAGTTAGTTGAAAGTGGAAATAGTGCCGGCCACACCCTGTCCACTTTCCCCTTTTGAACCTGATGCCTCTATTTTTTTAAGCTTTAGACCATTTATTCACTTCGAATACTTGTTAGGTTGCTTTATATATTTAGTTCGATATTTAAACAATAGTTGGTTTATAATTAAAAGGCTTATCATTAGGCCTACTGACAAAAAGCAGCTGAGGATGTAAGTTTCGCGGACTATATTTCCCTAATAAAGTTCTGTGTATATTCTTTTGAGGCTTCAGTTGGATAAGCTACAAAGTGATTTTTCTTTCTTAGCAATTTGTACACAATGTCACAAAAGACTCGACGAAATCAGTGAAAGCATTGAAGGACAATCGGCAGCAGAGGCAGCTGTACCCATAATGAACAATCCGGAAGCCATTGAACTGGATGAGGTTAGGACAAGATTTATCCTTCATTTTCAAGTGGTAAAATTCTTAGAAAACGAAAATAGTTACTTATCAATACCAAGAGAAAATTTAAAAAACAACGTTCAGATTTCAGGAAACCATACATGTAAATCCAGTTCTGGTTATAGCACGGACTGATTTTTTCACATTGCATCCACTCATGATGACTGCACATAACAGGTAATGGCCACCGTGAAAGAGAGAAAGAAAAAGTTTATACAGAAACATTATTAAAATAAAGTTGATCGAGAAGAACGTTAATAGAATTTCCATTGCTTTTTCCGCCTTTTCGTGCGTGCCTTACACGTAAACTCGGCCCAGTCCTCGCTCACTTATCTTTTCTAGCCCCTGATGAATGATATAATATCCCAGGCAAGACAGTAAAAATTGTGCTTGTTTGTCAAGATTTGTGCTGCTCGCTGTTATGACCAAAAGGCCTCTACGTTTTTATCATCTTATATTATTTTACTGACTTGTTACTGCAGTGTACCAAGTTTCATCGAAAAGATTCTTTTACTTGGGAATTCATTACTGATGTCACTTAAAAGTCATTGTTCGTTTGACAAGTACATATTATTATTATTACTATTATTATTATTATCATTATCATTATCATTATCATTATCATTATATCAAGTGACTCTGTTACTGTCATTGTTTATCTCTGATTTAGGGCACAAGAAAAAACAAAAGGTATTTTCAAATCATAAGCAAGAGACTTACAGAAACTAAGACGTTGGAAGTGAAAACAGCTTTAGTTTTTTTTGTTTGTTTGTTTTTACTGCGAGTCTCTTTTTTTTTAAAAGTAGTAAACCAACCCTTTTCTCAAAATTTCAGGGGACGGTGAACGATGAATTCACGGAATTATATACACGAATAATGGAAATGTCATTGAAAAATGAAAGTTTTTTCGTTCCTGACGAGGACAGTGTCAGTAGCAGTGACGAGGAATCGGAAGAGCCTAGTAACGAGTATATACGAAGAGAGCACCTTAACAGATTTCTTGAAACTTGTAACGTCCAAAAATTAACTCGACCAAGGAACAGATGGGCCGAGGCAGGTGCGCGCACGCATAGCAACCACGTGAAAAAGGCTAAAGACGTTATTGTAGCGGCTTTAGATGTTATCACGCCTGGTGATGCGGCTCATTTATGGGATGCACTTCAGTCTTCAATGCTTGTCGACAAAGAGCTTGGATATGAAGGTAGTGCCGACGGCAAATATCTTGAAGCCTTGGCAGAAACATACAAAAATGCATCCGCCTGGGATACTAGAAGACAAGTCTTGTCCATAATGGCTGATCTAGTCCCCATCGAACGCCTTCAGAGGTATCTACCTGGTATCACTGAGTACCGAGTGAAAATTGCGCGACTGCACAAACATGTTTATGGTCGACGGAATCCACTTCCATCAAGGTATAGTCCTCGAATGAGAGTAGAGGCCACCCAGCTTGATCATTTTTTGACGTTTATAACAAGTCCGCACATCATACAAATCTTCCATTGGGGCAAAAGTACATAAAGCTTTCAACTGGCGAAGTACTGGAGACACCAAACGTAATTCGAAGTATGAAGTATTGTTAAGCAGTACACTAAATACTGCGACGAATTCGGGTTCAAACCATTTGGACGTACAACAGTGTTGGCTATCCTCGCAGCCTGTAGCGCCACCGTAAGAAAGTTTATTTTTTATTGGTTAAAGGGAACAATCCCTCGCTTGCTTTATTTCATAACAGTGCACAGCATTCTCCGTGTGGAATGACGTGACCTCCGTCCTCATTTGCATAATACACTAAAAACTGGTTGGCCTCTGGTAGTTTGACAGTTGTTTTGTTTTGCATTTGTCCAGTCCCGACAAGTTGAAGTGCAATGTGCTCGAGCTATGGTTTCAAATTCTTCAATCATTTCCCTCCGAAGTCATTCCAAGGAATCTTCTGTGAAGCTTTATTAAATCTGATACTGGAACGTATCAGTCTTAGGAGGGTAAGATCCGATTAAATATTGTTTAGGCATGCATTGATTCGCTCACTTCGCTGATTTTATCGGTCATGCAATGAACAGATGTTTTGCATCTTATTGGAATTTAAACCACATCATGGGCTTTTAACACCTAAGAGGCAGTCCCGCTAACAGCGGTCCGGTCGATTTTGCGTCAGAAAAAAAGTTTCCCTTTAAACTTTGTACACTAAAAGGGTTTGGTATATAAGTAATAAAAATGATTTTCTTTTTTGCAAATAATATATTTCCGCTTTCCCACAGGTGCGATCACGTCCGGGCCAATTCATCTCCTCCAGAGCCTTTTATTGACAAATGAGCAAAATATCGAATTTTTTAATAATTTTGCAGACAATCTGTAAGTCCCAAAAGACACCACTTTGAGCAGGTCACCCGACTGCCAAAAAACATGCTCAGATTCGAGAGCTAAAATCTCAATTGTGGGACAAAAATCTGATATAAAATTTATATCAAGGTCAAGGCCTTACTTCATTTTAAGAGGTTCTAAGGTCAAATCTGCGGGTATCCGCCTGCACACTTAGCGGTGAGAAGGTAATTTTGGCCATCATGGCACTTTGTTTACAAAAATAACTCTGACTCTATAATTAGTATCATATATTTATCTACTTGATCGATCACTCACTTGACAGCTCTAAAATTTGCTTAAATGTTTCCTCAAAACCTTCACACAAACGCTTTTTGTAATTTTATTTGAAAATCATAAAGGAAAAATATTTTAGGTTCATAGAGCTAAGGTCAAGAAAACCACTATTCCTTATATGCAAATTAGCTGGTTGTCACGCAATACCTAACCAAAGTGGATGAGAAAGCAGAGTTTGTATCATGGCGACTTGTTTTCTGAAAACACGAGAGTTTGGAGACTGTGGAGAATTTCGAGGTATAGCTGAGCTTGTAAGCTTAGATCAATGTAGGAACGATTTAAGTCAACATTTATCCCGATGTCATTTGAGTGGAGAACGGATTATGGAGGGAGAATTGATTTTGGTGCGTTCAGGTTTGTTTTATACGACCGAAACGCAGAGACAAAAAATGCTTGTTTGTCCGAAGCACCGTGCGTATCTCGGGCAGTACTGGGGAAATCAGAAAAATAGTCCACGAGCCAAGTCCTGAAATGTGGCTAAAAATCAATTTTCGTAGCACCCCCCGTAAGACATAGTGAATTTAGTATCAAATTAAAGCTTGATTTCCATAATTTGATAATCTACCTGTTACTTTTTATGTAACCTGTGCTTAAGTGAGAAAATCAACTGTTTCTGAGGGGGGGTGGGTAAGGACAAAAAGTGCTTCCCAAATGTACAAGAACTGTAAAAGGTAACTTTCTGTGTAAATACCAAACGGTTTTACACCAAACTGGGCAAAAATACTAACCTCACCATATTTTATGAAACGAACTCATCGAATGTTTTCTTTAGTTGCCATGACAACCGTCAACATTTAAATAGCGCATCGGGCTTCACCACTCACTTTTACCGTTTACTTTGTACTAGTGAGTGTTTTTTGAAAAAAAGGAATTGAGAAAAGGAAGCACAGAAATGTTTGGTCTTACTGGCCTGACATTTTTCGGGAATACTGCATAACTGAACCCCTTTCAGGTCAATACAGATTTAGCTGGGGGTGGGGTGGGGGAGGAGCTTTGTGACTTCTAAACATTATAATCTTTTGGAAACTAGTGGTAATCATTGAGTACGGATCAGTGTTTGTCACTTACGGAAAAATTACGGAAATTACTTGAGTCAAAAGAAGTCCAGCTTCCCGGCCGAGGTGCCCCTAAGAAAATTAATAGGGACGGCTAATTTGCAGTCGCCTGTGATAGCTCGAAAATTTCTGCCTTAGTGCCACAGGAACACCAAATTAGGATGAGTTCTAACGAACGCGATACAATGCGTTTGTAATGAAATTTGCCGATTTTTATTATAACTAAAAGGCTATGCATCACAGTAGCTGTTTATACTGTTTCCATGGCAACGGTAACCTACTGAACTTCTAATTCATGTATATTACACTGGTTTGTTTTGATGATGACCATCGAAGCATTTGCGATTTCAGAAGATTTTACATTCCAATGACTTGGTCTCCATTTCACATCTGGCTTTTTTCTTATCAAAACCTACTTTTAAGTCACATTTAAGGGGGGATATGATCCATTCTGATTTGACCCAATGAGAGGAAATGATGTGTAGCCTGTTTCAACGATCAAATTACATTCTTGTAAACATTCAACTCAGAGATTTGAATACGTCAACTGGACAACCGATACTAATTAGCGTCACCAATTCTGAATTTAACTGTCATTTTTATCTTCAGTATCGTCATCATTATCATCATCATCAATATTGTCATCACTATCATCATCTTCTTCACTATCTTCCTTGCTAACACAATAATATTTACACAGTTATCTCGGCATGTACATGCCTCAGTGCAGGGAAGACCATTGCCAACACAAGAGCAGCGTCGTGTTTGACACAATCCTCTGCAGCCGCAGCATACAAGCACCATCACAGCATCGGGGGCTGGTGCCTGGTTAGTCCACTAGATTTCCAGTTGGCCTTCTTTCATCTGCCAACCATGGCCATCGGGCGCCTGGTTCGTTTGTGTCTCTAAGGCATGCTTCCAGAGGAGGGCGTGATAGTTAGCACGCTTGAGGTGGTACATGTATGTCAGACCATCAGAGGAGGAGAGTTTGGTACAGTTGTCTCCATGAGTGACAAAGAGAGTGTGTTCTTTGATTTTCTCGGCGTAGATCGCATTTTCTGACCACTCACGTGCAAGGAAGTTTAAGAGACCAGTTTTGTTACTTCCATTTGCCATGAACGTTCTCCACGACGAGGGCAGAACTGTTGACCATTGGTAATGTTGATGACTATCTCACCATCTCTGCCTCTCTTGTTCCTTTTGGTGTTTTTAATTGAGTTATCTGTATATTGATCTCCTACAAAGTAGATTCTTGCTGCCTGTCCAGCCTCTATCAGAATTCTCGTCATCACCATGTCTACCAGCTCAGAAAATCTATTAGGTATCCTTACTAGCGTCTGCAGCATCGCCATGGTGTCTATGATGACAGCTGTTGTCAGATCAGGTAAAGTAGGCAGGCATTCTACCCCATTTTCGAGAAGCTTGGAAAGAATTGCTTTGTTTGTCTTGGCTAATGAACCATCGGATGAAGCCAACGACCGTGGAAGGGGACCAAGCTCATGACTCAGGAAATCTTTGAGGTCCATCTGGCAACCATGACCAGAAATTCCGGACAAAATGGCGGAATTTGAGCCCGCGCAGCGGTATGCGGCTTTCTCCATAATAATAGAGAAACAAACATGGCGAAATCCATGGCGAGCAAAAAGCGTTCACTTCCAGTCGACTACACACAGCTGCATTCTCTCTCTTCGGTTGTTTTATACGACACCTCATTCAAGAAATCTAGGGGGAAACTGTACGACGTCGAGAGAATCATTGAGCGTCGAAAGACAAGATATGTAAGTTTTTCTTTATACTATTTATTTCACGAACTTTTGAAGGGCCATTTCGCTAGAATCGGTCTTACATGGGTTTCTTTTGCTGGTCTTCGACGGGTTTGTTTTGCCGCTCTTACACGGGTTTATTTTATCGGTCGTCTTCAATGGGTTTTCTTTTTCCTGCCTTAGACGGGTTTATTTTGCCGGTCTTACACGTGTTTATTTTTCCTAGTCTTACAAGGGTTTATTTGATTTTTCCTGTCTTAAGACGGGTTTATTTTGTCAGTCGTCTTCAACGGGTTTCTTTTTCCTGTCTAACACATATTTATTTTGCCGATATTGTTTTCTTTTGGGGTCATCCACTAGATTATTTTATACTCTTTGCAAAGTTGAGGTGAATAAATTACCTTGTCTATCTTGCCTTTTTATTATTTGCATAACAGGACCATGAATACTTAATAAAATGGAAAGGCTGGCCGCTGCAAGACTGTTCGTGGGAGCCGTCAGAAAACCTAACTGAGGCCTTAATTAGGTAAGAATACATGTTAAAGTTGTTTTTTTTTTTATTATCAGCAACATAAACATTAATTTTAATAAATCTTTGCCAGCATTCTTTTATTATTCAATATTAGGGAAATCTGCATTTAGAGATTTCACTTGTAAAAGCTTTACATGAAGTTTTAGAAGCACAAAAAGGTTATTATTTTTATTTTTTTATTTATTTAATTTCTTAGGAGCTATGAAAAACCATTCAAGCCAAGTGAAGAGAGACTGCAAGAAGCAGCTCACAACTTTTCAACGGCAATCCTCTCAGCATTGAAGAGTTCTTCGGTGTCTCCATTTTATGTGCACATGCATCTGGATGTGTGGAGGTTCCTTTCTTACAAGAAAGGGACAGCTTCACAACATAGAGGACAGGTTTTGTATTGTAAAAATGACTTTGTTAGATTTACTACATTGCCAATGTACTGGTGGTACTATTTAGACATGCATGGAGAAGGGAAAGCAGTGGATTTTCCACTGAAGATTAAGCCTGTCCTGACGTGGTCCCCTGCTCACCACTACAGGAAAGGAGGCAAGCTTGTCCAGGCCTCTCAATTCCCGATGGAGAAGTTATGTATTACACTGATCAAGCGGGCATGTGACATTGACAACCTTGATGAAGTACAGTGAAATTCACCCTTTAATGTACAAATGTTCTACTGTGTTCCCATACATTTCTTATAGTTGCAGTTTAACTACTCTTGGGCCTTGAAAGATTATTTTCATTCCATAAATCCATAAATAATTATAAATATTGTAATGTATTTCAACTGTTAAAAAATCACTCATCAAGGGAAAAATTAATCTCAGTCTCACATTTCTTATACCAATGAATTTTGAATTTTGTGCCATAGTGGTCAAACATGCTAGACCAAGTACAGTGAACTTTAAAATTTAATTGTACAAATTCTCCACTGTGGTCCCCCGTACATATTTTCTTATAGTTGTAGCTTACTACTATTGGGGCTTGAAGGCTTATAATTCCATGTGCCTTGCCTAATATTGTAATGCCAGACTATAAAATCATGTTTGCTCATTTGACACAGATTGTAAAGCTGCTCTGTAGATTTCCTGTAATCTCTTTAATTTTTTTGCCCGTGTTTTGAAACCTAAGTCCGTCAGCCTAGCTTTGATCATCTCAGGGGTCAGCCTATCAATTTCATCCACACGACTTTCTTGACTTTCTTCATCATTGCTGAAACGGGGACGCTTTGCACGACTTTCAGTTATTCCCCCAGCCCAATAATTGTTGTCTGCCTTTTTGTACTGCCGTTTGGTTCTTTCAAATTCCCCCAGCATCTTGATCCCCTTCCCGACCATCAGCACATCTTTGGCAACATCCCACTTATTTGACTGTTGCAAGTGGATCCTGCGGCAGTCATCATTTAGCTTCTCAACACCTACAATATACATTTTAAGAAAAATCATTATAACTGGGAGAAAGGGATGGTATAGTGATGGTATAGATGTAGTTGGCAATGATTTGGGTGTCATTTTATTTAAAACAGTTCAAAATTGTATATCTTGTCCAGAGAATTTTTTCATGCCTTTGTGCTTTGCCATGAAGTAGGGGATATGGTAAACCATACAGTGAATGTATGGTGTTACTTTGGCTTTACCATACCCCTCCAACTTCCCACCAAGAGATTGAAAAAGATTCACCCAAGCTGTAACCTATAGAAAACAAACAATCAGTTAAATTGGAGAAACAATTAATTCTATGCCATAGGTGGTACAAAACACCATATATATCTACCTTGGCAAAATAGTTGTCGATATCTTCATCTGTGGGGTTCTTTATATGAAGGTCTTTTTTGTAGATGTCATTAAAGTCCTAAGTAAATGAAACGTTATGCATTGTCAATCTTTTAAGAAAATATATAGTTTTACTCCTGGTTAACAGAATGATTTTAATTTTATATTTGATGTATTATCTTTCTAAAAAATATGCCGACTTCAAATATTACATTTGATGTTCACAAATATACCTGCCAGAGCTTTATTACTGTGGTACTTGTAGCTCGGCTAATGATGCCATCCAGCTTGGCTGGTAGCTTTTCCAGTAGTAACTTTTTGTCTGTGCCCATCAGACTAGTGAAGTCGTAGAGTCCACTCCCTTTCCCATCGGCATTCTGTTTTTCCCAGACACTGAAGGATACACCACAGCTACAAATGGCTTTTACAAGGCTATCAAGATGGGTTGTTGTTTGATCACGAGGGGCCTTATTCAAGTTGTTTTTTTTGTCCCTGCTTATTGCCTCTGTCACAAGATTCTTTGTTAGCTTATCTGTTTAATAATAAAAGAAAGATAGAGTTGAGTCCTAATGGCAGTGCTTAGTTGAATGATAAGCATATTTATATCTCACCTGTAACCCTCAGCATCAAATGGAGCTCATCCAGCACAACATTCTCTAAAGGAATGTCTAGCAGAGGTGGGTGCTCACAGCAAAATTGTTGCTTTAGAGAACATCTCTTCATCTCGTCTATTGTTCTTTTACCATTCTCCCAGTAGTGGTTCATGGGCTTGGTCATGTCATGCCTGTAATTTGGTTAATAGAAGTCTGTCAGTTATGTGGAAGAAAACTATAATCATTATTTTAATATTATGACATTGATAGTTATTTTTTACCTAACATTTTTGTGAATTGTACACTAGATGCAGGCATAATCTGATGTTGCTCCCTTCAATCCTAGTACAAGTAACAGAAACTGCAAAAAAAATATATAACATACATTTTTATCATAAGTCAAGTTAAACATTGGAGGCATGGGTAATGGAAGGTGGGCTAACAGGTTATCCCCTACCTCCAAAAAAGGTTACCTTGTAGTCTCCTCCAAGGTGCATTTCAATTGCTATCTCTTTTCCATCCACCTCTATTTTTCCATCTTTCACAATCCTGTTCACATCAGCAAAGATCCTGGCACATGATGTTTGCAGAAGTTCATAGGATTCTTTTCCTTTAATTACTGCCACAGTGTGATTCCCTGGTGTACATATGTAAATTAAAAATAACCAGTGTCCAATTGATGCATATGCACAATAATTTTTTGTCATGTATATTTTGACTTAATTAACAAACTAGAAAAAAAGTAACATAAATTTATGAGAATTTGATGATAAATATACATATTTCTCTTTTCAAGTGTTTTGAACTAACCTTTTGAAGACATTACAACATCTTCATCATCCAGAAGTGAGAATGACATAACAACAAAGCCTGTAAGCCGTGTCATTTTGGCACCATCCCCACTCAGCTTTACTTTATATTTTAGAGGCTGGTCCATTTCATCTGTTGTAGCATGTTTCCTCATCTTTGTGAATTAGAAAAGAAATGATTAGTAGTTATTATAGTTACATTTATTATAGTTATTTTTAGTAATCATTTAAAACTTAAAAAAAACTTTTAGTACTTACATGTTCATGGATTGTGCTACAGAGCTCATCCTGGAAATTTAGTTGGGCACCTTCCGCTTTCCCTGGTGTCCGCTCTATGTGAATAAGTCCATTCAATGACTCTTTGCACTGCCTTATTAAGTATGACCTGGGCAGTGCCTCCCCTGTCTGTGTCATGGTCAGTTCATGGTAGGCTGCGTCCCCTATGGAAAATTTGTCCTGGATGAAAAGGATTTGTTTTATTTTATCCTTTTCCTCTTGAGGGAGATCTTTGAATTGTTTCTTGTCATCCCTGCTAAATGTTAAGGTGTGGGTGACTTCCTTCTGGTCAGTAAGGCTTACTGAATCTAGACTTAAGCCATAGGTTTCTGCAAACCACAAAGTTCGTTCCACTTGAGTTTTTAGCTCTTTTAGTTTTCTTCGTTGCTGCCTTTCTCCAACTTCAGAAACCACTTTGCCACTGTTCTTTACTATTGGCATTCTGTCAATATATTCTCTCAGGTCCTTGTTTTTGCTTAAAATTGTTTCATAGTTATTTTCAACATCATCCAGTTTGTTTTCAACCTCCTTCTTGGTCTGAAGTGCACTTTGAAGTTCCGTGTGTAGTTCTTCGCAACGCTTTTGCAGCTGCTCATTTTCTTTTAGTAACCCTCTTGCATTTTCTTTGGTTATATTTAGTTCTTCTTCTATGAGTCCCACGTTAATTAATTCATCTTGACGAATAGCAATTTTTCTAATGCTACTCAGATACTGAAGTCTGGCACGACCCTGGAGCTTCCGGCAGTTGCTTTTGACAGTGCCGCTGCTTCTTTGTAGTAAACCATCAATTCTTGCGCAGTCTTCCTTAATTTTAACGCCGTATTCGTCAATCATGGCATTCAAAATTTCCACGTAGGAGAATTGACACAACCCCCCCTCCTCTCGAAGGTCACGCCAACTTCTAAGGTGCTCGTTCGAATGTTAACCGTAAAAGCAATGTTATCTCCATCAATACAATCTTGTTTCACGTAATTCAGGCAATGTTCAGTTGATAAAGAAATGTTTTGTTTGAACTTACTGAGATCATAACCTTCTAACCGGTCATTTTTTTTTTTTTTTTTTTGGCAACGAAATCCAAAACTAGAACGTAAACGCACAGCGCCAAAATTCTCGCTCTTTACAACGCTGACCAACCTGATTGTTTAACCACTCTCCCCATTTCTCAACGGAGTCTGAAGGCCTGGTTTAAAGCTTTATTTTGATATCAAAATGGCGACCCAACGAAGCTGGCGAACGCCATGAAGTGAGTTTTTCGCGTAAAAAATCGAGCTACCATGAGCTCATTTTCGCAACTTCACGGTTGAGTGATTCTGCTTTTGCAGTTTTATATTTATGTGTTACTGTGTGTTTTCATCGCCAAAAAGGACGCTGTTAATCGTTATCAATCGACCTGAAAATCGCTGTGTTTGGGGAACATGATTTGGACTTCAAGGAATGAACTTGGCAAAATTAATCCATCCCACGGAAACATGGCCAGCTGCAATGGAAGACTGCTACTTCTGGAATTTTCCGCGTAAAATAGAAGGCTAAAGAGAGCGGGAGTAGCGCTAAAATCGCACTAAAAAAGGACGGTGTTAACGGTTTGGTGTAGATTTGACATTCACAACGTGGGATCACGGTTGTTTCTTCTAACGGATTCCAACTTGGGAAATGTTACAGGTACGCCAGAAATTATTCTATCCTCAATTATATTTTTTCGCTCCATACATTTCTTTGTAAACCTAATCGCCATGTTTGTTTCGGAGATATGAGATAGCCGCTGCCGTTTCGCGGGCGCCACGTCTGGAATTTTTGGCCATGTTTAGGCGGGCAAATAAGTTCCTCTCTGCTCTGATTATAAAGTTCCTGTCTTCTTCTGTGCATCACGGAAACTTCCTACCTTTAGTTTGGGGAGTGTTTGAAAGAATCCTGTTGAATTTGTCACCAGTCTTTCTTCTACGAAAGCCGTCAAAGCTGTTGTGCCCTTCTCTTTTGCCAGGAGCAGGTCGGCCTTCATGCTTTCACTGGCAACATACCCAGAGCTAAGGCTAAGTTCCTCAGATGGTTCAAACGGGTTGCGCCAGTTGCTGATTACTTTGAAAACTTTCTTTACGTTGTCCTCATCTCTTTTCATGCGAGCTGAGCTTGCCTCTTTGTGCAATCTGCGTTGGCTTTCTTGACCATTTGTTGTCATCTTCCGACACTTGTCTACGAGCTGTCTCCACTTCCTCTATTTGGGAGTACGATAAACCATGTCCAAATCTGTAATGGTTATCAGTTCAACATTCCCTGTCAGGCTCTTTACAGTCATCGGAAGGACGACATGTTTTGGTGTTTTCATCGTCCACGAGTGGCAGAATGTATCAAATCCTGAGAAAGAGAGAGGGCGAGGCGATGGACCTCCGGTGAGATGCCTGAAACTCTTTCAACAGAATATTCGCACTTTGTTGATAGAATCCACGCCGTCATATTGTAGAGCAGATCAGGTACTATCTCAATCTCACACTCTAAATCTTCTGATGATGGTGGCCATGGCATTGTTGGTTTCATGTTTACATCTAACTTTTGTATTGTTTTAGCCGTATGGTAAACTTGACGGCTTACCTCGTCTTGTGCATTTGTTAAATCCGGCTCACTGTCACCGTTTGCTATTTGCTCTTCATTAACAGACGTAGTACTCTTGAACACAGTTTCTACCACCTCTCCTGTTTTCAAGTGAGAACCATAGACTAATTCTGATTGGTTTTGGTTCAATGGTCGATGAAAGGACAATCGTTCTCCAAAAAAACGCGTAAGCCAGTTCTTCAGCCTAGTGGACCTGTACGTCACTACATCTACTCCTTCTTATGTAAGGAAGGAAGTGTATTTTTCAATAAGGGTTGACATCGGAATGGCTTTTGCCGCAGCGATGACTTCTTTTTCAACAAATTCTTTGACTTTACCAATTCTTGACAATTCTGCTCTTCTAACTTAGTTAGTTGCTCTGGGGGGACATAATTTTTGTAGCATGATCGATGATACTTGATCTCCATAGCTATAGTGTCTCGTCCATCAATGTGCAATAGCATGCAGATGTCATTCCAAATCCGGGCTGCTTTTATCAAAGTGGCACTACCAAATTCACTAATGTTTAGTGTAATTTGTTCTCTTGTTCTGGCTCCTTTGCAGTAGCCTTTCTTGACTTTGTCCTTCTGACAAATTTCACATTTATCAATGTCAAATGTTTGAAGTTGTGACCTACAGACCCTCTTACACGAAGGCTCAATGCCACTGGACTGCCCAACTGACTCTCCATCTCGATCCTGTCTGGTATTGCAATGACTTAGACACTTTGCTTATGTCTGTGTATTCTTGGTAGTATTGCCGGTGATATCCCCCTTTTGGTCCCTCATTCCAGTAGTCCTTCGTAATCAACCAGATTGCATCCCTTCTCTGAGTCGAGCAGCTTTCAAACTTTTCCCAGCTTTTACTAGTAAATGATATTAATTGACCTTGAAAATTTTCTTTTACATGACAAAGACACCTATTCCAGTCAGGTTTCTGTATTGAGCTGGACACTGAGCGCTTTCTAGTACAACTTACTGACGTAATTTCTGCCATATCCTTGATTACACTAGCTTGTTTTCTGAAACTCCTCAAATGTCACTAGAGAAAAGAAGCAAAAAAACCTTATTTCGTTAACACAAGCAAAAACATATTGAAAACATAACTTCTGCGTTGGATTTGACCGCTTTCACGCCAAAGACTTCAGTATCGATGTTGTAGTGAAAACAAAATCTGACAGACTACTTACAGTTATTCTAGTAATGTTTTGTGGGAAATGTAGCTTTTAAAAAATGTAATATATTGTACAAACTTACAGACGTTACTTGAGTTTATCTTGCACAACCAAGCATCGAAATTAAGAGGAAAATCTGTATAAAACCACCATTCTCTTACCATTTTGTCTGCGCACCATTTTCCAAGATGGCCGCTCATAAATAATAAGTTTGAATTGCATCATGGGATATACAATCTGGAATAGAACTTTCATGGAATAGTAGACACTGGATTATTATCAAAATGTGCCGGCTTTTCTTTCATTTAAAAAATAATAGAAGAAAACACTTTACAGATTTTGGTCGGTCCATTAGTCTCAAATGTATTTTGAGTTTTTATTTTTTTGCTCTTTGCTGTTAAACGAATTACAACAATTGTGAAACAAATGAACTGGTTGACTCGCGGGAACATTGTTGAGCCTTAAAGCCTTTGACATTCTTTTCTAGATAGTTTACAAGAAGAATGATGCTAGTAATGCTTTGGTGTTCAAAAAATAGTGTCTGAAAAATCCTGTTCATAATGTACATATTAATGTAATATCCCTGTTTGAAATATTTGCCTAGCAACGGTTACCATGGTAACACCCGATTGAGATTTAGACAACGACGAGTACAGCACTTTACTTAAAATAAACTTTTCGCCAGTTTTCTCCATATGGGATCAGCAGTTTATGAAGTATTTGTTGTTTTAAGCCTTAAAAAGTATTCGTGCCAAAATGTAAAACTGTCCCCCCACCCCCCTCAGAAACAAGTGATTTTCTCACTTAGGCACAGGTTACATAGAAAGTAACAAGTAGATTATTTAACAATTATTCCACGAGGGCACGTTGGATATGAGATGATAGATAGCCAACGAGGCGCATAGCGCCGAGTTGGCTATAATCATTTTATATCCAACAAGCCCGAGTGGAATAATTGTTTTATTAAAAACGCCCACAAAATCTCGTTGAATCGCCCCGACTAGAACAAACCGGAAAAGACAAGGGACTTACGCTATTCACATGTCACACGTCTATCAAAACTGTCAACGCGCGAACGGACTGGTCTAGACTGCATGAATGAAAAATCAAAACATTGTAGCGATGAACATTAGTTTTTTAAAAACTCATAGTGATTCTAGGATTTTACACAGGAGAACAGCTTAAAAAGCCTGGCAGATAATGTGAAGGAAAGGAATTTTTAAGTGACAATCGTCGAAATTACTATGAATTTGGATTTTCGGTGCAGTTATAAAAGTAAGAACAACGGAGAAAAACGACCGGTATTACCTCGGTCGCTTGTTATGAAGTTGTTTGAAGCCATAAGCTGGTTTTGCTGAATGAGAAAAGAAGCTATATTGCCGCCTCGATTGCTCTAGTGAATGGCTGCATAGCCTGTATTTGTAGCTCGTTACTTGTGATTTATATTCTTGATGTCCGATAAACAAGCTGCAGTTATCTATCGGCGAGTGACTCGATCGGCGAATGGCTTCGCGATCATGAAGAAACAACACTTGTCTTCTTTCTTAGCTGGTCAAGGTACTTTAGTTCCATGTGTTTTTCAACAAACTTTCAAACAAGCTCTTGTGGCTTTTTTGTTTGTTTTTGTCTTTTTCTTTCGATGAAATTGCATTTCTAGTATTCTAAGAAATGAATTAAAACAATTTGCTTCGGGCGCCGTTCTATCCTTCGCGAAAAAAAATCTCAGCTAGCTTCCAATTTTAAACTGACGCGTACACCGACCATATATGGAGAACATGGTATATTAGCTCATATACCATAACGGCTAAGCCAATCAAAATGCTAGAATTGCATTATCCAATGATTCAGTTTTTAATAATAACATATATACAATAAGCTTTAATTTGATACCAAATTCGCTATGTCTTACGGGGGGTGCCATGAAAATTGTTTTTAAGATGTCTTGGCTCATGGACTAAAAGTTGAGCTCATGCAAGTACCCTGACCACAAGGCAGAGCACAGAGCAGTCAGAACAGATCGCGCATTTACTTTGAAGGTATCAAGGGAAGTAATGGAAGTGTTTGGTGTTCTTGTTCCTGTCGGAGCACGTGAGTATTTGCCTATTTTCTGGATTACCTCTTATTTGAAATAATTGAGACTCATAAACAACTTGCGCAAATAGCAGATATTATGAATAATCTCGTGTACGATTTTTTTAAGCGATCTGTAGTAGCTGTAGAAAGGCGCACAGCAAAAGGGTCCAGAGTAATTGGCCGTGGCTACAGGGAGGAAACGCGAATGCGGGACCACGCGATGAAGATGATGCAGTACTGCTGACTAGGTATCTTTAATATAAATATTCTTGTTTTTGACATTAAAATGCGCAAAAACAGTTATCCTCAGTTCTTGTCATAGCTCAAACAATTCTGTTGGCGCAAGATAAGATCGTGAGAACGCTCGTTCGGGATTGGCTAGCTTAGCCCTGTTTGCGTTGTAATAAAAAGCCGACATGCTTCGTTCCATCCACCCTCTTGGTACTCTGAAAATACCCCAAGAACGGGACCATTAGAGAAACGTAATTGTTGGTAACAACATAAAGGAGCATTTGTATCCAGGAAAAAAATACCCTAAAAGTTTAAAAACGAGCCTAAGGGACAGACCATTAAAGAAACTAAATTGTTGGTTACAGTATAAAGGAGTGTTTGTATATAGGAAAAAAATACCCTAAAAGTTCAAAAACGTGAAACAAGTGTTGTCGATCACCTTTTCAATCACTTTATATTGTTTGTCCAAAACAGCATTGCGTTCAGACCTGCAAACCAAAATGTGGTAGCTTTTATTTTTTATTTGTTTGTTTAAATGACACAATCGCTTTATTATCGATATGAAATGCCCTCTAATAACAATTTCTGGGTGTAGGCGTGGCCGTCGGGGTGATTTCAGGCATTACAAGCGGTATGCCTTTTATATGCTGCTAAATTCTATAACTTGAAGTTTTCGGAGGGAAATCACCCTAGCTTCCCTTTAGCAGTAGGTCTCTTGCCAGTCGCTTTTCCATCATTGTCATGTGGTAATGCCTTCTTGTGTCTCATATAGGAAGAGCAAAGACAAGGCCTTGGCGGAGATGCGAGAGATCCCACCAGACACCCCAACTGTTTCCACACCACTTGGTGACTTCCCTTGGACACCTGGACAGTGGTGCAAACTAGAGTCAGTGGATGATGACAGCACAGGCGAGGACATGCAGACTTTTCCAGACCAGACATTCGAGGTGTATAATACCGCAATGGCGCAAATCGCTGGACTGTCCGATATCGAGATTTTAGAGCCGTTGACCTTTAGGCTGAAAGTGGACTGGGGCACTGCGACAGAGAAAGAAAACCAGATGTGCGAAGAGAAGGTTGACGAGGCCTGTCGGGCAGTGTGTAAAGTGATCGCACCAAGCTCTAGCGAGGAGTTGCTGAAATCGTACGTGAAACGTGCTTCCAGGTCAGATAAAGAGGTCGAGGCACTGACATCAGCCTACAGGCAATCACCAACCAAGAATCTAAAAACACAGATCCTAAGTATATATGCCTTGCGCTATGCGTCAAACGAACTGAAGGCAATGCACGCACCCTTTGAGAAGCTCAGTGATCGCCAAATAAAGAAAGTAAGAACACATGCAAAAACTGTAGGAGTTGGGCTCGAAGTTGAAAAAGTTCCTCATTACAGGGTACGCATTGATAGGTCGAAACTAGAACACTTTTTGGATTTTGTTGACCAGCCTTATTTTTATCAAGATGTTTCTTTTGGAACGAGAACAGTTAAGCTGAACTCAGGTCAGCAGATGGTTATGCCTAACATAGTCAGAACTGTAGGGCGTTCAACAATGATTGAGCAATATCATCAGTGGTGCAGAGAAGAAGACTATCAGCCTTTAGGCAGGTCCACCTTATACAGGATATTGAAAGTGCGAGAGGCATCACAGCGCAAGTCACTCCAGGGCTTAGATAACACGGCATCAAGTGGGGCAGAAGGCTTTGACACCCTCAATAAAATAGTGGATGACTTGGAGCAGTGTGGTGCACGCCATAAATGGTGCGAGGGATCTTGGGATAATCTAAAGGGAGCAAAGCGCTACTTAAAAACGAGCTACCATGCGCACTGTCGTGAAGACAGCGACAATCTGTGTGCTGAGCACTGTAGAGAACACGCACTTAGCGATACGCAGTGCTTAGAGTTCAAGACATCCTGTACTCATGATCATATGGAGCTGTGTGAAAGCTGCAACAGTCTCAGGAACACACTGGGCTCTGTTTTGTCTGAGATTAATGGTTCACAAGATGTCCAGTTCTACAGCAGAGACCAGCAAGAAGACATGTTGTATGATGCTGCTCAAGCACAGGACATGGTTCTCCAGTGGAAGGCCCACATCCTAAGGGCAGAGAATCAAGATTGCACGAAAACTGATGCCGTTAATTTCCTTCAGAGTGATACCATTCTCATAGTGATGGATTGGGCCATGAAGTTTATACAGATGAAATACCGCAAGAAACAATCAGAATGGTATGGAAAGTGTGGGATGAACTGGCACGTAAGCTGTATCCTATCAAAACCAGCAGACAGAGAACAGCTTGAGGTTACTTCTTATGTGCATCTCTTTGACAATTGTGCCCAAGACTCTTACACAGTTTACGCGATAATTAAGCATCTCCTGAAGACTCTGAAAATCGCCAACCCGAACATCAGCAAAGCCTTGCTGCGTTCAGATGGAGCTGGATGTTATCACAACAACAACCTGATTGCTGCTTTGAATGAGGTTCACGTTCATACTGGCATAAGTGTGTTAAGGTAATTACTTTATTGTTTATATCTGTTATTGTACATCGGAAACATTTTACTACTCTGAGATATCAGCTCAAGGAACAAACATGCTACATTCATATATTTCATAACCTCTGTGCGCTAAGTAGCCATGTGCGTATTTATTATTCTCCATTGCGTTTCACTGCAGAGATCATAAACTTGTCACTCTGGATACCGAAATATGCATGCGCCGGATGTGATTTGTATAAAAGAAAACGAGAAAGTAAAATTCAATTCTTATCAAGGGGATGATTGTTTCGATACTTTAAGGATTAATCAGATAACAACAACTTCCAGTAAGCGCTTTCACCGTTGATTTCTAGGTATGACTTTTTGGAGCTGCAGTTCGGGAAGGATGTGTGCGACCGCATCATCAGTCCCCTGAAGGGCGTGGTCAGACGCTTCTGTAACGAGGGTAATGATATCCTGTCGGCGGCAGACATGCATGAAGCGCTCAAGGTCTGACCAGTGAAGGGATGCACAGCTGCTGTTTGCGAGATAGAGCGCACTGATCAAGAAATCAAGGTAAACCGCATCCCAAACTTCAGCACCTTTCACAACTTTTCATATGAGGGAACTGGGCTGCGAATGTGGAAAGCCTATGATATTGGAGCTGGAAAACTCGTGCTGTGGTCAGACCTAGACGTCCAAGTTCCCGGAGCAATAACCTTGAAACCTGCCACCAACCAACTACAGTTCTGGGATGTTCAACCTAGGTGTGTAAAACTACAAGGAAAGACGAACCAAAGTGTAAAGCTTGACACAGAAACTGCGCTATTCGAATGCAACGAAGCTGGCTGCTCACATTCATTCGATAACTATGATGCCTTACAGGACCACATCAACTTTGGCAATCATGATCCCATAAGCACAAATCAAGAAAGTGTTTACAACAAGTTGCGTCGCGAGTGGGTTCAGAAATTCTTGGCAATGTCAGTAAGTGAGCAGAAACCGAAGCAGCCTACATCTGCAAAAAGCACTATGACAGCAACTCATGCGGAGTCTTCTGAAGCCAGATGGGCCTTGCAGAAACCGAGGGGTAGTGGGACAAGGTTCTCAGAGAACGTAAAGTCATATCTCCAAGCCCGATTTGACGTCGGAGTACAAACTGGAAGAAAGTCTGATCCAGTTCAAGTGTCAGCGGATATGAGAAGCGCCAAAAACCAAGACGGCACTAGAAAATTCTCGAGAGACGAGTGGCTGACGAAGATACAAGTTCAAGCCTTCTTTTCCCGACTTGCTGCAGCGCAGAAGAAACAGGTGACTCAGAGACATGTGGAAAAAGACGACGAAAATACTCTGCTGGATGAAGATCTTGCACACCTGGACCATCAAAACAAAGATGAGGATGTTCAAGAGGTGCTGTCGCAAATAGGACTGGAACATCCAATCACATATGATGGCTACGACATCTGCGATCTGGTCAAGACTGAGGCATTGTCGCGCTTTACTGGGAAGGAACTGAGGGTCATGTGTGACCACTTTGAGCTGCCACGTAAATCAACGGACAAGAAAGCCGCTCTAATTAAACACGTTACCGACATGGTGGAAGAGTGTAGCTGCTCATAAACACGGCTGGAAAAGAACACATTGATTTTTATTCGCGAATCAACTGGGCCGTGAACTCAGTGCGCGACTCGAGCCTTACATTCACACTGTGCTATATAATACATGGCTGGATCTCAGTCACAGTGCCAGTAATTCGTATTCTGCATAAATTGGCTGACTTCAAAACCGACTGCAGAATTCACCAAAAGAGGGCATTTCATATTGATAGTAAAGCAGATTGTGCCATTTAAACACAGAAACGAAAAATAAAAGCTTCCACGTTTTGGTTTGCAAGTCTGAACGCAATGCTGTTTGGGACACACAAATATATAAAAAGTGACTGGGGAGGTGATCGACAACATTTTTTCACGTTTTTGAACTTTTTGGGTATTTTTTTCCTGTATACAAATGCTCCTTTATATTGTTACCAACAATTTAGTTTCTCTAATGGTCCGTCCCTTGGGGTGTTTTTAGAGCACTCAGAGGATGGGCGGAACAAGGCATGTCGCCTTTTTATTACAACGGAAATACGGCTAAGCTAGCCAATCTCGAACGAGCCTTCCCACAATTTTATCTTCTGCAAACAGAATTGTGTTCTCTCTCCATAATCTGCCCTCGACTCAAATGACATCGGGAAAAATTGTTGACTTAAATTGTTCCTACATTGATCTAAGCACACACGCTCAGCTATACCTCGAAATTCCCCACAGTCTCCAAATTCTTGTGTTTTTAGAAAACAAGTCGCCATGATACAAACTATGCTTTCTCATCCACTTTGGTTAGGTATTGCGTGACAACCAGCTAATTTGCATACAAGCAAATAGTGGTTTCTTTGACCTTAGCTCTATAAACCTCAAATATTTCGCCTTTTTTGATTTTCAAATAAAATTACAGAAAAAGCGCATTTTTGAAGGTTTTGAGGAAACATTTAAGCAAATGTTAGAGCTGCGAATATTTTTTCGGTCAAGCGAGTGATCGATCGAGTAGATAAATATATTATACTAATTATAGAGTCAGAGTTATTTTTGTAAACAAACTGCCATGATGGCCAAATTTACCTTCTTGCTGCTCCGTGTGCAGGCGGATACCCGCAGATTTGACTTTAGAACCTCTTAAAATGAAGTAATACCTTGATCTTGATATAAATTTCATATCAGATTTTTGTCCCACAATTGAGATTTTAGCTCTCGAATCTGAGCATGTTTTTTGGCAGTCGGGCGACCTTTTCAGAGTGGTGTCTTTCGGGACTTACAGATTTTCTGCAAAATTATCAAAAAGTTCGATATTTTGCACATTCGTCAATAAAAGGCAGTGGAAACAGCTGGTGTAAAAGATACTTTATAATTATCTGTAGTTTCGATATGACGCAACCCTAAAAAACGACAATTTTCGGTCTTTAAATCGGGCTCTGGAGGAGACGAATTGGCCCGGACGTGATCGCGCCTGTGGGAAAGTGGAAATATATTATTTGCAAAAAAGAAAATCATTTTTATTACTTATATACCAAACCCTTTTAGTGTACACGGTTTAAAGGGAAACTTTTTTCTGACGTGAAATCGATCGGACCGCTGTTAGCGGGACTGCCTCTTAATACTTTAACATATCTCTCATCTATACATTTTTCGGATCAATATTGTTTTAAAAAGGTTCAAAATAACCAAATGGCCAAAAGGTTTGCCGCCTACCATAATCCGCAGTTGCTTGGATTCGGGTCAGAGGTCATATTTTTAAGTGTAATATTTACATTTTACCCTGCTTTGTCAAAGCTCGTGATTTCATTTACCCAAAAATTTTATTTCGCCAATTTGAAGAAAAAAGAATGCTCTTTCAGACTAGGCAAGACTTGTGCTAAAAAGAAAATGTGCTAAATTTTGACCGTTTGAAAAGCGATGTTGAGTCAACAACTTTGAAAATTTGTTTAAAAATCTATTGTTGACTAAATCGCGATCTTATTAGTTTTAGTTATATAGGAAATGAAGTAAAGATATGACAGGCAGTTATATTTTAATGACAATCTTTATTTTTAAATATACGAGCCACTGAAACTGGCTCTAATTTTTGCATAATTTTAGCCCATTTTAGTCCTCGGGAAGAAAAAATTCGTTAAAAAAATACTGTTCAATCGATTGTACCTAAACCAACGATTTTGTAACTAGGGCCCACAGGGCTTCATTCTGGCGGAGTTTGAGGGGAGGTCATTTTTTGACTATTTCCACTTGTAGTTGATAGTTACGCGAAGTTGCTCTTAATCAGCCTTTTTGTCCCTGTCACATGCAAGTGCCGTCAACTGCCTTGGGAATACAAGGCATTTTGTTTAACTTAGTTTATGCTGTCTCTCTGTAGAGTGAACACAAACCTGCCAAACGAGCAAGAATTTCTCCCAAACATCTTTTTTGAGTCAGAACATGTCAACTTCTGGTAAGTTTTACAAATGCAAAAATAACAGCTTTGTCCCAAGAAATATTTTGTTTTTAATGAAATTAAAAGACATTAACCCTTTCACCCCAAGACCAAGTTATTGTCAAGGTCTATTCAGCCAGCCTATTATAAATATGCCACATACATACTAAACAGTCTTTTATGTGGTTGTCAGTGTTTTATTAAGTTAGAGATGCAGATGAGTTAAACAGGCGGCATATCATTTTCTTTTTTATAATTCGTTGCCTATAAAATATGTCATCAGTATTGAAACAAATGTTGTGTATTTGCAGATTCTGACACTGAAGAAATTTCAGATTCTCAGACCAGTTCAGATGAGCCTTCATCTTCAGTGGCAGACATTAGTCCAAAAAGTGCAAAAATTGCAGTGGTGACAGCATTTCAAAGCATATGTTTGCAAGACTTGAGCTTGAAGGCTCACATAATACCCCTGGCAAAAAAGCTTGGGTTAAGACATCGTTCGAAGGGAAAATATGAGTTAATGGTGCCCCTAGCAAAGGAGCTATTCAATCAACGTTACCTAAAGTCGCAAGATGATGGAGATGTCAATTTTAAAAAGTTAAAAAGAAACATGCTCAAGGTTTGCAAGCCTCTGTGTGATGAAAATCCACTCTTAACGGATTGGATTGGATTCATCAGAAGACTCCTTTGGACATGATGAAGATCAACAATAAACACTGAACTGACTAAAAATAGTGCACAGTTTAAGTTCACTAAGAAAAAGTTTATTTTTGATATTAATCATATTGTTAGAAATGACAGTTTTAAATATTTATAAGTGATTATTACAGCTGTAATCCAGATGGATGTCTTAAACTAGTAAATAAATTTTTGTTTACTTTGTTGAGGCCACCTTTCTATATTTTTATTTTGTAGGTATTTTATTGAGTCTAACATTGGTTGACAAGCATTAAGCCAATAATAACAACATAATTTATCCTTACACTCATATGTTGGTAAATTTGAGCCCATTAATAACTCTAGGGTTCCTTAGTTGGCCGTTTTATCTTTGTTTGGCCGTTTTATCTTCGTTTTATCTTATCCAATTTTGGTGTAGGAATTTTGTCTTCCCTTGATGGCATCTCATAGAAACCATTGTTGGTATTTTTAGGTAAATACCAATGTTGGTAACTGATCTTCACCAGTATTGGTAGGTGATATTAGGCTTCCAATGTTGGAAAATCATAAAACCCATTGTTGGTATTTTCGGTCTACCAATATTGGCATATGATCTAAGTTCCAATGTTGGTAACCTTACTCCATTGTTGTTATTTTACACTAGTACCAATGTTGGTACTTAGCCATACCAATATTGGTACGAGATATAAAGGTTACGATGTTGGTAACTTTCCTTCCCAATGTTGGTGTGACAATTTTGTCTTCCAATGTTGGTAGACAATAAACCATCCTTGGTATTTTCCATTTGTATCAATGTTGGTTTTCAGCTTTACCAACATTGGCATATAATATTAAAGTTCCAATGTTGGTACTTATATCACATTTCCAATGTTCGAACACTTCTTAAAGATACCAATAAAAAACCAACAAAACCCCAACATTCCACCAATGTTGGTATCTCTAATTTTTTCCTGTGTTCACTGTGAAGGATTCTAGCAGTTCACGTTTCACGGGGCATACTTCGATCACGATTCATGAAACAATTTTCAGTAAATGGCGATAAACACTTTGGGGGCCTGGGTCCTGTTTCTCGAAAGGCCCGGTAACTTTTCGTGCCTGAGAAAAGACTTTAAAATTGCAATCTTATGGATACTAGTGCCGGCATTGTATTATTATTATTAGTATTAGTGCATTGTGTTACCTTCAGAACTATAAAAACCTTGATTTTCGACATAAACACAACTAACAAAAACATCTTTTAGGGCCCGAAAAGTTTCCGGGACTTCCGAGAAACGGATCACTGAAACGAACTACAAAGCAGTGCCTGGATACGGAGCGCACGCAAAGGCACAAAGACTATTTTGGCAGCCTTGTTTCGGTGATACATTGCACCTGATAATTTTAAATGAAACCACCTTTTCATTTAAGTTACTTTTATTTCAAAAAATTAACTTCTTTTTTACCGCTTAAACATGATCAGCACCACACTTATTTCTTTCTTGGTTGTACAGATGATAGACCTCACAAGCTATTTGCATTAAAAAAAGAACAAAAATCAGGTGGATATAAATGACAATCAAAATGACGGACCATAGCAAGCAAAGTCTTTATGATAAGAAAAAAGATGACGTCAAATAGCCGTGCAAACTGATATCGGATTTCTGTCGTTCTATCTCAGAATTAGTTACAAGTTCCAATTTGCAAGGGATCCATGAGAGATACCAGGCAGTTCTGGACATTTTGGTCAATAACCAGTGCTCCTTAACAGAGGCCATGAGGCAATTTAACATCCCTCGCAACACGTTGAGGAATTACATTGGCATCTGAGAATTGCAAATTATAGATGGCGGGGGGTATAAAAGAGTGGTCGAGGCAGAACGGCAGAAAATGGGGAAGATCTCTGCTAAATCTATTAAACTGCGCTGTAGGGCGGTTCTGAACGAATATAGAGTTCAGGCCAATAC